GATAAGTTTGACCTAATGGGATTTACTGAAATATAATCTATGTTTGATGAAGGGTCAAACGAGCGAATTTTGGGATGAAATTTGGTGGGTATGCACTTTTGAACATCCTAAACCTGAAGGTTTAGTTTGGGTCAATGGTTTATTAGTTAACGAAATAGTTTAAAATGGAACCACACTATTTTAATCGTCAAATGGAGGAATTTGGTCATAAAATTTGACGTGATGGGGTTTTTTGGGTCTTTAAACATAGTGGTGAGGTCTGATCAGTCAAATGAAGATAGGATGGTGGATGATAAGCTCTAATCGATGAAATTTATTGAAATATGATCTAAGCTTGATAGTGGGTCAAACGGTGGAGTTTTAGAATGAAATTTGGCAGATAGGCACGGATTAAGGTGAGGAGTCAAATGGATTGTTCTAATCTAAAAGAAAAATGGTTAATCTAGGCTTTCTAAATCAGGGCTATCGGAATAGAATTTTGGCGCTTTCATAATTTATAGTTCCTAAATCTGTAGGCCATATTTAATTAGATGTCGATATTAATATCGAGGTTTTAATTTGTCCTGTAGATTATGTCAAAAGAGGAATTTTTGGCTTTATAAAGTCTCAATTTGATTTGATTGTAATTCCAATTTTGGGCTCTAAAAGGAGGGTACGAAGAGGTAGGGTGAAGGGACCAATCAAAAATTGAGTGTTGACAAGAGCGAATTCAAAATTTGAATTCATGCACTTGATTCAAAGTTCAAATTTACCGCACGCACTAAAGCACCCTTTAGACCGAACCAGGCAAATGGGTTGAGCTGATAGCAAACCGACCAAACCAGTCATTCCGAGCCAAAGATCCATGACAAACTACTCCCTTCACCGAACCAACCTCGACTCGGGAGTGGGGGCAATTGATGGTGGTTAATTTGACCCTCTAGTGACATTGCGACACGTGGCACCACAAACTGTCAAATGACATCTGAATGCCATGTAAGCATCAACCTTAAGAGTACTTCGAACACATCGCACCCATCTCGGCCTCCTCGACCCCACCTCGGCAGGACGACCTTTGGACAGCTTGGATAGTGTCAAGTCAGTGTAAAAGGTAACCTGCCTCCGCTGACCTAGCCGAGATCAAGTTGGCGACCTGTACGACATGGCAGGCGACTTCATGAGCGGGCTATCGTCTCCAACTCCTTTGGGCTCACATCACCATGTCAACGGAACTTACTCTCATCTTGCCTGCTTTGGGGGCAACTGGATAAGCATTAACGCTTTACGTGGAGTCCGCTTTCGAGTGTAAAACAACCTCCGAATCAGATGGGCCAGTTATCTCGGACGCGCTACATAAAGTCTACAACAAGTTGGGTGTATATAAAGGCATCCCATTCCTCAAGAAAGGTACGTGCAATTTAGCATTCGCAACTCTCTTGCTTTCTAGGTCTCTAAATACACCTTGCCAACTTAAGCATCGGAGTGCCCGCCCAGGGTAAAGCAGCCCGAACACTTTGACTTCTCTCTTTGTAGGTTGACCAGGCGACCTCATCAGTTCGGCATCCGAGTTGTCTACCAATAGGGAGCACCATATCACATATCATCAATTACTACAAATGATTAATAAAATTAAATTTATTAAAAAACATTTGTTCATATTAATTTAACAATATTATTTTCTATAAATCAACATTAAATGAAAAATACAATTATTAAAATTTTAAATATTAACAATAACGTTGAATACTTTTAGTTAATTAACAACAAATTTTGATTATTAATTTATCAATTAATTAATAGTGTGTGTGTGTATATAGTTAATCAATCTCTGAACACAGGTTGACTCCTCCCCATAACTCTTTACACACCTCTTCCCTAGATGGGATGGTTTTTAATTCCTACTGGTTTCTAATAAAATGGGCAAAGATAAAATTTTGCAATTCATTATAAGACCATGGTTTTTAACCGCCTTTGACTCGGACGGTTGGACTGTTTGGCCCAGGAACCATCTAGGTAACCAGTTCCATTTTACCCGAAACCCAGTCCCTAGCCAAAAACTGTTGAATTGGTCAACGACCCGTTGATCTGAGCAATCAAACTATCGACCCATTCAATGGTTTTTGGTCTTTTTTATTTTAATTATTTTTTTATGTTTTGTCGTAACAGGTCATCCATTCGAACTAGATGATCCAACCGTCAACCCGGAAACCGGTGGCTAGAACAGTTCAAATTTTAGGTCATTTTTCAAAACATTGTATAGGATGATTTTTGATAAATGTACCCTCCCATCATCTCAATTGGGCCTCTATATGCCAAGGGAACATCCTCAATTGATAAAATATTTCCATACATCTAGATCCCTAATCCCCTCATACTGATATATTCCCCTCTTCAAATCTATCATCTAATGAAATACTTAGGTTGTCTTTGATATCATTTTTATTTCTACCTGAAATATTTTGGGTTGATCAATATAAATTGGCATACAATTATCATTTGAGGCTATTTATGATTGAAATAGGCATACCTAAAAGTGCATGTGTATGAGAGGCTATTTTTAGAAACATCAAATTGGTGTTTCTTGGTCTAGGGGTGAAGTCTAATTATTCTAACTGAAATAACTCTCACATGTGATGTAGCAACTCTCTCACCAATTTGTAGTGATCAAGTCAAAACTCTTTAGGTAGAAACAACAATGGCACCAAGCACAACCTTAGTGTTTCAAACTCCCCTCCTTCAACCAAATTTTTCTTGACTTTAACTTCCACATATATATGTTCATCTCTTTGAAATCATGTTTCATATTCTTTATGAAGGCTGATGAATTCTTCAAAAATCATAACAACATATAGAATTCTCATATTTCAAAATGGGAAATTGAAAATGATAAATAGATTTAAATCATAATAAAGGGAAGAGTGCACAATAAATGCATAGAATTAAGGGTAGATTCAAGCGAAATCGAGTCAAATATGTAGCTATTCAAGCTTAGCTTGCTAAAAAACTATGAGGCTTAAGCTTGAGGTCGAGATTGATTCGATCTAGAGATTTGAGTTTGAATTTGGTTCAATACAAAATCTCATAACTTCAAGCTTGACTCAGCTCGAGCTTGATTATAAGCAAAACGTTCTATAAAAATAATATATATATATATATATATGAAAAAAAATATTTTTTTTTTATTTTGCATATAAAAATTAATTATCGTTATATATAATATTTTTATATATTCATATCCACCCGTACTTGGAATTGAATGACGAAATCAATAGATTTAAATCAAAATAAAAGGGAAGGGTGTAAAATACATGCAGCCTATATTGAAGAAAAAGTTTAAGTTTCTACTATTTACACACTACACTTGTAACTTAATTTCTGCGTAGGAATTAGGATTAGGATCCCATGACAGTACAAACCTCTCCCTCTCTCCCTCTCTCCCTCTAGGATGATCCTACTGATGAAGTTTTTTCATATGGACAAATTACTTGACCAGAGGTACTGAGAGCACATGGGGTCGTGTGCTAGCATTTTCAATTTGGATGGAGATGGCTGAAGTTGCCGTCTGCCCCCCTCTTCCGGCCGGCATATTACTACTCAATACAGTTGGGTTGGAGTTTTCATGTAATAACCATATACAATACACCTAATCTTATCTTCTTGGACAAGATGCCACTGCATCTGCATCACCATAATACCATCAAATCATATCATCATATGATCATATGCATCAAGGCTCACTGGTCGATGATCTTTCCTTTCTTTTTTTTTTTTTTGGTATTTTATATATTTATATGTAGCACTTGTATGTTGGTTGTATCGTCTCCTGGTCCCACATACATCAAGCCCCACCGAGGTCAAAGATGTCATAAGTGGAGCTCTCGAGTCTCATCTCATCCAGTCATCCCCTAACCCCAACCCCTCCTGCTCCACTAATTAATATTGTGTTGCCCTGGCCCAAGAATCAACATCAGGAAAATGATATCAACCATACGATCTATCACCATCGCATTCACAACTGATGACCAATCAAGCATCGATGAGTGGCCTCAGGTGATCCACGCTTAAATATTAATAATAAATAAAAACCCAATTTCTTATTTGGCGTCAGATTGTCCTGTGCTGAGTTGCTGCAGGCATCGGGCATCCGTTCCCATTTCTCATTTCTATTCCTCTCTCAAGTCTCATGAATCCGTCCTACTCCTCTCATCTTTCATCATCATCAATCACTACTTTATTCAATGTCCCAATTCCCAAAATCATTCGAGTACGTGAGAGTTCAAAGCAAGGATTCCATATTTCCATTCCAGTCTTCTTGACCATAGCCACTAAGTCTTTAAGTGATTACGTACGTGTCCTTGACAGCATAATCACCACCGTCCGTCCTAGGGCATTCGCATCAACGGCTCATCAAGCGACGACTAGCCAATAAATCAACGGCTGATGATGGAATGAATACGTAACAACAATCAATCGACCACTTCTACGTAGTTGATGTTGATGATGAGTTGAGTATGTATTTGATTATTGAATTGAAAGCAATTTAGTGGGTGGGGACATGAGCATGGGACCCAATGTCGTTGTCCATCGGATAAGCGCGCGATTCTCGTGGCGTACAAGTGGCCAGGCCACGTGTTACAACCATTAAGGTGGTGGGTCCCATTTGACTTGACCTTTTCTTTGGAGTTTGGAGGAGTTGTTGGCTTGATTCCTTTTCTTTTATCTCAAACTCTCAACTCTCAAGCCGGGCTTTTGTCGTTTTGCGAGGGAAGGAAGGATGAAGAATGAAAGGGAACAGCTTACAGCTGGACCTGGTGAGCCTCGGAAGCCGAGCCGTCCAGCTCCAGGCTCCAGCCTTCAGCCTTAATTTAGAGAAGCCCGCACATACAGCTCACATTAGAGGAATTGCGTATGATTCAGAACTCAGAAATTTCCACAATATTTATTATAAATTAGTTAGTTAGTAGTAGTACTGAAGATGGAAGAAGAGAGAGAGGGCAGAGAGGCAGTCTGCCTGCCAGAGACAGAGAGAGAGAGTGGGGATTGGAGAGGGGGAGAGAAATCCAAATCCACCATCCACACCGGCGGGAGCCCAAATTACTTTTACTTGTGTTTTGGCAACTGGGCCACGAACCACGATGGAAGCACCCACCGGCCAACTGCCACCATATAAGCCGAGCCCCGACCCAAATAGCGCCCCAATAAGACAATAATTGAATGGACACATGGGAGACAGTACAAAAATTCTAGAGCCAATGAGAATGAAACACGATGACACACCCCCCGGCCTCCCCCATTTATTGAGAGTGAGCACTAAAGCAATCGGCACTGTGCAGTCGTGTTCCATTCCCAAATCCCAAATCCCAAACCAGTCAAGTCCCACTTGATGATCAATGAACTTGTAACTCATAAAGAAGATAGGGGTATTTTGGGAAATCAGAAATATAGAAATTGAGTATATATGAATGATTCCTGTTGCCCACGTCTCTTTGCTCTCTACTCAAAGTCCCCTACCCTTATCATCTTCTATCCTCCTCAATTGCAAGAGCTTAGCATTACTGCACATACCCAATAGCCCAATTCCAATAATTCACTTCACAAACACAACCCCACCTTTTGGGTTTTGGCCGTTTGGCCTCCTCCTTCCTTCTAAGAGGAAGAAGAAAAAAGGAATCCACATCTCTCTCTCTCTCTCTCTCTCTCTCTCTGTTCTCTTCCTCACTGATCACTTGATTATTTCCTTGTCTTTCTTCGTAATTATTCTTGAATGAGCAAATGGCCTCTGATGAAACTATGACCATCCATTATTCATCTATGCACGAAGACGAGGATGATGTCGATTACTGCATCGATGAGGATGATCAGCAGGACGCCCATCATCTTCATCATCATCCCTCCACTTTATCCAGGCTTTCCATGTGTACTTCCAGCAGCCTCTACGATATTGACGACGAAGACGCTGCAACGTACATGTCGCGTTTGTCCATCGAAGACTCCGACGACGGAGACGACGCCGACGAGGAATTATCCGATGACAAAGAGGGTAAGGGCGTCTCCGATGTGTCTTCCGACTCCGACAAGGACCCCACTTGCTTCTCTCTCCCGGGAACACCGCCCAGGAGGAGAATTCGACGGGGGAGTCTGAGTCTAGCTGACATTCGTGTGAAGAAGTACTCCAGCGAGAACGAAGCTGAGAAGGACAGCCTCCACCGAAACACCATAAAGAAGAAGCCGAACTCTTCCAGAAGGAGAATAACCAGGGAAAGATGGCTGGAGAGAGCTTGGGAGGAGAAGAAGAAGTACAACAACCACAGCAAGGCGGTGGCGGATGAGGATGTGACGATGTTGATGATGATGATGGAGAACAGCAACAACAATCAAAGTGGTGATCAAAGCGAGTGTGTGGTGATAACCAGGCCAAAAGGAGGGAGAAGGTCACTGTGTATGGACTTGGAGGAAGTTAAGGCTTGCAGGGATCTTGGGTTTGAGTTGGAACACGAGCGGATGTTGGAATTTCCAGGTCGTATTTCGATTTCAGGATCCACCATGGATACTAGCAGCGGTAGCAATTCGCCAATCGCCAATTGGAGAATCTCCAGTCCCGGTCAGTTAATTTCAAAAACTATATATGACATTAATTTCTCATCATTCCACTACTTAATTAATAAACAAAACGAATCCTTTCTTTGTCTTTCTCTCTCCCTCTTCATCTTTTATTTAACCTGATTTACAACTTACACAAAACAAATGGCTTTTCAGAAACCAAAAAGAAAAAAAAAAAAAATGCTGGAGCATTCAGGGGCTTTGGTGGGATTCTTTACAAAATTAAACTAGTCATGTAATGTAACAATTTCTGATATTTTCCATTTTGTTTTCCTTTATTAGTTATATTCTTGGAGTTCTAGGTTTCAGTCGTAATTAAGATATTCTGATCCATTGGCCCTGTGCCCTTAACTTGGAACAGAGAGAGAGAGAGAGAGAGAGAGAGAGAGAGAGAGAGAGGTGGGGGAACAAAAAGTGAGACCATACACATGCAGAGAGACTGGAACCTTTGGGGACATAGGCATGTTCACTGGGGGCAATAACAGACCTCATCCCAAAGGGAGGACAGTGACGCTGAATGATGATGAATAAAAGGGGATAGAGTTGTCATCTGCATTTTTTTTTTTTCGTCACTGTTATTTCTGAATTCAACAAAGAAAAAAGTAAAAAAAAAAAAGGAAAAAATCTTGTCTAATTTGATGGCACGTGGGACATTCTTTGGGTAACCGACCTCCATGGATGGAATGAATGAGATAGCCAACCCCCATTTTATATTCCCTTTCCACTCCCCGTCGTCACCCACAGTGAGCTTCATCCGTAAGTAGTGGCAACTGATTTTTGAGAATTTCTTTTTCCTAAAAAAAAAAAAAAAAATTGTGGAGATAATTTACAGCAGGCCCATGAAACTTATTTTGGGGGCCCATGATTAAATTTCAAAGAAAAAGAAGGAAACCATCTGCTCTACTGGTGCATTGCCATGGGATTGGTTAATGAGATCTCCATTCCAAGTTTGAATTTTTGGACCCCAACCAAAAGGCAAAAGTAGAGTGAATAGCATTGATCATCATAAATCATGAATCATGATCATCACCTGACTCGGACTAATGATCAGTGAGCTAAGCCCAACTTGGCTTGACTAAACACTTAAACAGGGATTCTGGTTATATAGAAAGTAATTATTTTATTGAATTGTTTGTAATTTTCTGGTATTGACAGATGATTATTTTTGTTCTCTTTTTTCAGGAGATGACCCACGAGACGTTAAAGCTCGGCTCAAGGTATGGGCACAAGCAGTAGCACTAGCATCTGCTGCTTCTCGTGTCGTCAACTAACCGATAACGTTTGAGTTGGATTAGCGATTCCGATTCCATTCCTTTTTTGATCACCATCCGGATTATATCGGATAGACACCCATAGACATATACTGATAGACATTAGAGGGATTTCCAATTCCTTAATTGTTATTTCTCAGAAAACGCAATAGATTTAGAAATAAAATTTTGTCTTCCTGGTGTTAATTAAGAGTGTTTTTTGATGAGGAGCGTCTGTCCGTTTTTCCAAGCATCTCTTCCGTCCCCTGTAAATCCTGTAATGTAAAACTGTAGATATAATCAATCACCCTCCATGGCTGACGAGTGACGACTGAGACTGAAAGATCGGGTTGGGTGGCTGTATGTTTGTATCACCATCGCCACTTGTGTGGTTTATCAGAGTCTCGTGTTAGAGTTACAGTCACAGAGAGCCAGCAGAGAGTGAGATTTCTTTTTCTTATTTAATTTATTTTTGTTTATAATTGATTGGTATTGTAAGTAAATTTTAATTTCCATGTTTTCAAAGGTGGGATTGATGTATGGACTGAAATGCTTAATTTGAGGTCCGATGAGCTTTATTACACAAGATAAAGACAGCTTTCATGGCTGATGTTGACAAGCTTACACTGCTTAATTTGTAACAAATAATTCACATGTAAATGTGAATATGTGATCACAATTCACAATCATATAAAAGTATAAAAACTAAGATATATACATGCCTACCGAAATTCTATTCTAATATAAATGGAAAAATCTATTCTTCACTGGAAGAACTTTCACCAATCAAAGCATCGCATGAATTTTGATGATTGATCACCTCTTTATTTATATATTGTCTTAAATTATCCCTATTGTGTCTGGTTAAATGTTAACGGAAAAAACAAAATGTCGAATTTGCTCTCTATTATTACTCAAAATTTTAAAATAAAATCCAAGTAATGAAAATTTTTAAAAATAGAAAGATCACTGCTTTTTCTCCATTTTCCATTTTCCATTTCCATCTCCATTTTCCGTCTTTGTCTCCACTTTCATCCTCTTTGTCATCTCCCTCACCTAAATCGAGACGGCATCCAATTGCGAGATTAGATGCTAAAGCCCTCCATCCTTTCTCTCTCTCTCTCTCAAGTCTGAACTGTTCATGAATTGATTCCGGTAGACTTCGTTTTCTGTTGTTTTAGGTAAGATAAGAGGATTAGTGGAAAGAGGATAGAGATGGTGGAATGCTAGAGATATTGAAATTAAATAAAGACTAAAAGACTCGTAAAGTTGTATAAGGCTATAAACCTCTTTAAAACCCTACTATCTTCCTTTCTTCGCTGGAATGCTGATAGCTTTCTATCATTAATTGGAGATGGAAAACAGAAACGAAGAAGACCTCGACTTTATTTTGGGCGAGATGACGTTCGCCGAATTCCCAACGTGCATGATAACTCATAACCATTCATATCTCCTCCATCAACATCATCACCGCAACAATTCATCCGTAATTGCAATCCAAACCCTTAACTGTCTTATCTCTCGAGTCGACCTTTGATCGTCTCAATCCTTCCACCGCCGATTTCAGTAAATTGTCAAAGTCGAAAGGTTGTAACCAGCTCTGAGTTTCCGCTAATGGTCCCCAACGTCAAGCCTGTAACCAGCTAAAATATTTCTTAAGGGTTGCAGGTTTTTGTCGTCTTACTCATCTGCTTCCATAAATGATCTAAATATCAACACGAGCCAATACACCGGTAGGGCATATTGGCCTGTGTCGGTGCTTTTTTTTTATGTTTTACTTTTTTTTTCAAAATTGGTTCAAAAGTACCATTTTAAGGCCCGATTACCCTCTAAACCAATGGCTGACCCAATATAACCCCTATAGGGGCGTATCGGGAAGCCAACGGCACAATACGTATCGACCAATACGGGTCGATACGTGTCAATACTTTAAACCTTGATTGAGACTAAAGACCACTGGTTCAACTATAAAAGGGCATCTTATGGTAAAATCATCTTAACCAAACCAAAAGGAGCATTTTTTACCATAAAAGGGTAAATTAGGGATTTTCAAAAAATATAAATCTTGAGATGTCACATATGATGGAATGTTAACGGTAAGGGAGGTTTTAGGCAATTATCAGAAAAAATAGGGGTGGTGCAAGACAATAGTTAAACAGTGAGAGTAAAGTTGGTCAATTAGCTAAACCATAAGGGTAGTTTAAGTAATTTACCCTTTTTTTGATAAACATGGTATTGATCACCTCCTTTAATATATTAGTAGATTGGCTCTAACTTTTTCGATATCATGTCTTTCCAGTATAATTGTCCAAGATAGGGGTGAGCAAGAAAAACCGAAAAAAAAAACCGATGAAACCAAACCAAAAATTCTAGTTAACCAAACCAATCATTTTGATTCCAATTAACCAATATGGAAAAATGATAGTTAACCAATATAACATATGCATCTATATATTATAAATGAATATATATAGATAGATAGATATATTCTACATTATAAATAAATATTTATAATATATAATGTATTATTTATGATTTATAATATAATATTTTATATGTATTATATAATATTATGAAAATCAAAAAACTGATCAACCATACCGTTCGATTCCGTTTCAAATTCAATTATTGATTTTCCAAAAAACGGTACCACCAGTTCAGTTTAGAAAAAGGCAACCAAACTGTCAGCACCCCTAGTCCAAGCCATATCCTAATTATATGGGATGATCCACATAAAATCCATCTCAACACTCCATTATTTAATCCTTTATTACTATTTCGAACCTAACCCTTCTATCCCCTTTGAACTTGCAAAAAATCAATTCTTACGAGTGTTGTAGATGATCTTAAATGCATGCAACCAAAACCGGTTTAGTTTAATATCTCTCATTTTATCAGCTATTGTTAGAGCCAATCCTTTTATTTTTTAACCCTACCCTTTATAGTTTTTACACTCATCTATCTCAAACGTACACATTTCTACCACTCTTTTCTTTTGGACATGATTCCTGGCTGCCCAATACACATAATAATCTATATGCACCCCTTTCATTTGCCTGTAATATAATTTTATAGGCAACATCCCACCTCATCTTCTCCCTTGTCATGAATTATTGAACCAAGATACCAGAAGTTTGCATTGAATAATCTCTTGATCTCCAATCCTTGGTGCACCATGACTTGCACTTCTATTATTATTTAATTTATATAACATATATTCTGTTTTGCTCCTTATTTTAAATGTTTTTTAAGATATTTGTCCATAAACTTAATTTTGCATTTAACCTTTCATTTTATTGAATGGAAATCATTTCATTTTGAGTTGTCCTGGGCATTATAATGAACTTACTTATAAATAAATAAATACATAAATATGCATTATACGAATGCTAATACAAGGTAGAAATGAGTTCAGATCATGAAAATCTTAAAATGACATCTTTTCCTATTTTTATAAAACACCACTCCGGAAAATTCACTTGATATGATGAATCCAAGCTTTCAAATATTGAGACACCTATCAAATGACTAAATTCCCTACTGGCTTAGTACCACCCCAACATTAAATCCAATGGCTGCCAAAAGCTTCATATGTGGGCAAGATTATTATTTCGGGTTATACTATTAGCCACATATAATTGAAGGCGCCCTCTGTGTTTGCCTTTTAGTCATAATAATAAATTTCAAGCATCCATTCATTGTACTCCAACTATATGAATATACCAAGCACATATCAATGGAAATAAATCCCTAATTTGAGAGGGAGGAAATGAAGATCTGGCATAAAATACCAGGTGCAGAGACACCTCTTAGCATAGCTTTTGCAATTGCCAATGCCCTTTCAGATATGCTCTGCCATTATTATCCATACCAAGTTCCATTGAATGATATAAATACCTTAGCAATTATAAACCACAAAGAAACCACAAAGGAAGGGCCTATTCGTAATCTCTCACTTGAACACCAGATTATGACAGGTCTTGTCACAAGGATACTCACAATCAATTGCCCTGACTCCTGCGCGATCAAAATACCAATCCCCAACAGATTGTGCAATCCCCTACATATTCATAATCAGGTCAAAATGAGATTGATTTGATGAAAGGCATTTCAAGATAATATACAGTATAGGTCACACTTAAAAAGAACAAGTAATTAATAGTTTCAACCAATTCAGTTACAAGTCACACTTAAAAAGAACAAGTACCATGGTTTCCTGGTTTGAACCTACATTGCTTGCCATGGTCATGCTGCAGCTATTATTACGTTTAGTCTTCATGTTTCTGAGGCTTCCATAGCTGCTTCTCTTCCGCTTTCTTTTATATGGATTATTCTCAAGTTATTTTAGGTTGCTATTTCTGTCTACTCTACAAATATCTACTGTACAAATAAATGTAAGAGGGAAAGATTGAAATGAAGACCTAACTAGGTGTCTACAACTATTTCTTTAATTTCCATTTGATGTTCTGCATAACAAAGACAGTCAAACGCATTGGAGATACCTTGTTTCCAATAAGGGGAGAATCATCTGCAAACCATGTATCTTGTCTTTCAGTCTGGCAATGTGCAAAACATGAATTTATGAACAACCCATTTTTCCTGGACATTGAAAACCCCTTGATAGCATTGAGCATTTGATTCCTGAAGCCTGTTACAGAAAAATGAAATTTCAGTTAAATGATAAAGAAATAAAGAAAACATCTAGAAACAGACTTTGAATTGATAAAAATAACAAAACAAGCACCTTGCAAAAATTGGATCTGTGATGCAGTGCATTGTGCATGATTCAATTTACATCCACGCCAATAACCATGAGGATCAGCTGATGGTGGAGCTAAACTGGCCTGGAGCTGATAGAAGGTAAAAGGAAATCTAAATCGTTATTCAATTAATCAATCATATGGCCTAAATATTATTTAAATAGGACAGAAAAAGATAATTCATAGTTGAATAGTTGTTATCATATTGTCAATCAAGTTGAAAGTGAATTTTTAAGTCATGAAATTATACCTGCCATGCATCGTAGGCTGCATTCAGAAGAAAAAGTGGTGTCTGAATGTTGGCAATCAAGTTCTGAGGGAAGAAACACTGAAAAAGGGGACAAAATCCAGAAACAATGAGAAAATAAATGAGAGAGAAACTAACTACACCATTCCTGTAAGCAATCCAAAAAGAAATAAAAGAAATAAAAACTTAACCAATCCTGTAAAAAAACTTTAAAAATGAATATCTAGAATCATAATATATGACTCTTCTACTACACCATCCAATAATGTATTTTCCTTTCTTTGTTTGTAATATTCAGACCATGTTTTTCTGATACACAACAAGAAACAGGAAAGAATTACCGAAGTTGGATCCAGGTGGTTAAGACAAGTGCTTGGCAAGTTCTTCTGCACTCCCTGTTACAAGCATACAGGTTTCCATTAGCTGCACAACCATTGCATGGCAGGTTATCATGCCAAAGAGGTAAAACCTAGTAACAATGATTTAGAAACACAAAGTTAAATTTCCTTTATATGCAATTTCATTGATTCAGCTCAATCAATACTTTAGCTTCTAAGTTTCTGTGTCCAAAAGGTTTAGGTTCTACTGTTTACTGATACACTCCAGAAAATTTTCCAAATTATCAAGTTTTCACTTGAACAAGTATCTAGATGCTTAAATGAAATTCTCAAGTAAGGAAAACTAATCCAAACCCATAAAGAGAAACTTCAAAAATAAGCATGATAAGAACCCTCAGTAGATCAGCATCTTTCATGTTCATAGTTTAAATTAAAGGGCATACTAGCTCCCCATAGAGCACGGATGACTCATTATCCATGCACCACCAGTAGAAAATGTAAACATACACATGCAGGGGCAGAGAATGCAGTTAGTCACCATAAAAGACATACCACTTCAAAAACTTCACCTGGTTAGATGATAGCAAACATTCAATTTATGAAATCCTTTTAGTAGTCAGGAATATTACAGTAAAGGTCATAACAATGACTTGACAATGAAGAGAATAATGATGACTTTATAAAGCATGTAAGAAGACATTTTTCATCTTTGGAGTTTGATATTTTACTTTGGCAGTTACTGCATAATACTAATAGAACAAAAACCACTACAAGAATTTAAATATTTATTCTTATACCTGCAAGCTGACCACTCCTCCATACATATTTCTTAGAGTGCGGCCACCAGACACATCAACCCTATATTCCAAATCAAACACAACATTTGAAGAAGCAAGAAATTGGTCAATAAAAATCAAAGAGCACAATTGAAAAAGCAGGAAAAAAAAAAGGGAAAATCCTTAAACCTCTTCTAAGTTTACTAAAACGTCCTCTAAAGGACACTGACCTCCCTTGACCCCTGTTGACTGACATGGCAGGATAAAAAAATACTCCACTTATATCACCATCATTTGGTGTCAGCATATGATTACACGTGACATTAAGTTCTGCTAAAATCCCAGTAGTGTATCTATTTAGCTTGGCTTTAAATCAAATGGACCAGAATGCCCATTATGGATTAATTTAATATATGTAAATATTGACTACAAGATATGCCTTCTCAGGTCAAAATAGAATTTTCTGCATGTACATCACCCATTTTTTAGTTTGGAAGATAATTACCAAATATCCCTCAATAAATTAATTAGCCACATATCATCCAATACCTATCTGTCCATTGAAATTTTGTAAAAGTAAACATCAAACTTTGGATTACATGCTAATTTTTAAACGGGCCCAAATTTTACAGGAGGCATATTTAGAGGATGAACTTCAAAATTGATGGTTTTGGTCTGCTATAAAGCCATTAATTTGGCCACATCAAAACTCAGGTGACTTACCCACAACTAGGGCATTTTTTTTGCATTAGATTCACAGAACTAAAACCCCATAAAGGCAATTTTGATATTTCTCAAATTCTATCAAATTTAACAGCAAAATGATTCAAAGGAGATTTTAAGATTTTTTTTGGGTAATAAAGGGGATTTTAAGGATTAGGGTGAAACTTAACAGAGGTTTTAGTATTTGGTAAAAACCTCAAAGGAGGTTCAAGGATTTTTCCCATAAAAAGAAAAAGAATGAGGTAGTAACTAGTCAAGAAAAGAGTTTTTAGTATTTACGCATCAAGGAATAGTCCAGCATCACTTAGGCACTTCACTTTTGTGGTTCTTGGAAATAGCTCCCGAAACTCATCGCAATGTAGTATAGATGCTAGACCTCCAGCAGAGCATCCAGAAAGAAGAGCCTGAAACACAACTGCCCACAATTACTACAAGAATTGAAATGATGGCATAGAATTTGTGCAATGTGGTAATAATAAAACCTGGTTGGCATATCGCATTCCTTTTGACATTAAATCTTCCATGGCAGCTAACCAGATGCGCTGTCCTTGGAAATAAAGTTTTGCAACCTATAGACAGAAACACCAAATTTTGTTACAATTACAAAATACACAAACACAAACACACACATCCAGAGAGAGAGAAGAAGGATAACACCATATCTTCAGCATTCTAGATAAGATAAAGTCCTCCATGAGTTTGTCTATTGAGATACTAGTTGCCGTAGTTTGTTAGTCGTTATTAAGTTTCACAGTCCTACTTAGCACTGCTTGCAGAATAAAAATGAGAAAATAAAAGATGATCTAACATGCTCACCAACTTCTGAAAGGGAAATTTTTTTCCTGTGCTCTGCAACCCTAAGCAGAATTCCAACAACTGATCATCTTATACCAAGGAGTTTGGTCATTGATAATCAGTGTCTTATGCCAGTCAGAAGTTGAATGTATCTCATCTACTGGCATGATGCCCAGTCTCTTACCGTATTTGGTGCAATTTGTTACGGTTTTTCAGGGTAATGGTTGTGCCAGGAGACCTGGCTTCTCTGGTTGCAGCCTGGCCATCCAAGGCATTCAGTAGCAGCAAAAGGAAATAAAAGCAGCTAGTTCATGGGGCCTTGTGCTGGGCTATATGGTTGGAACATAATAGTAGAGCATTTAATCAAACTGAGACAGAACCTGAGTGGTTGATTGGGAGGATTAAGAAGTGCTTGTTCGAATGGGCAACTGTCAAGTAGGAGTTCAAAGGCATGAAAAGAGAGCAACTCATAAATCGATGGAAGAGGATTCATTTTGTTGATTTTGTAAATAAGTGAATAGTGATCACACTATTACTTTTATATAGCCGTATAGATCTATGTGATCACATCCTGTACTTAGTTTGAAGGAATCTGTCCCTCCTTCTGAGTAATATAATTCAATAATCTTTATCTTTCAAAAATAAATGCCCACCAACCTCATCTTGGCTGTCCCCGCTAAATGATGCACCGTCACAATAGCGAACTTTTACTCTATTCCAATTGAAAAAATCTACAAGCATTGAAGTTACAGAATATGAATTAGGGGACCATAAATGTCACAAGAAAAAGATAAGAATAAACAAGAGCATTTATCTTTTATGTAGATGGCAAGTGAGGAATGTCGTTTGAAAGAAAACCAGGATTTTCTTCAGCTTTGTTGCTCAATATTCCAGTAAATGGTATCTGCTTTTCCATATATGTTGATGAACCCCGGCGAGTTGTTTTCCTGTAAACACAGTTTCTAATAGTATTGCACCAGCCTCCACCCTGCCATTCAGGTTTTCAAGGTATTTAGTAGGGCATCTTTAAGATGCATTCACAAATAACATATTTTGAAGGTCTGAAATAAATAAACCATCATATAGATTACAGCAAAAGTTATTGACATGCTTTTCAATTTTGTTGAAATTTTGGCATTTCTTTTCCATTTTGACTGCCACTGAAATGAAATACTAGTATGAATAATTTTTGAAGGTTTAGATAATGATATGACTGAAAATAGGATTTAGATGTAAAGAAGAGGAAAAGTAGGAAATAAAAGAGATAAAATAAGAAAAGTTATGAGACATTTTTTTTCTGAACATAGAATTTTTTTCATCCATTTCATTTGGTATGTAAAAATTATAACAGTACTAAAAAATTGTGTTTCATTTTAGAGGATGTCAGAAACTTCAAGACAAATCTTCCATTTTAGAGGAGACTGAAACCTATCATCATCCTCATCATCTAAGCCTTACCCCAACTATACGGAATCAGCAGAAAGGTTGAAACCTATCTGGAAAAAAAATTAAAACCTTGCATGGTATGATATTGATGTGTACTGGTTACTAAATACTTCATGATCACTTAAAACATTATGTTTAGCCATGACAAAGCCACAAAGGTTCTAAATATCAAGATTGCATACTTTTTCTTTGAATGGTTCCAAACTTCCATGACATTCTGAATATACACTTCATCTCCACTAACAGAAGTAGCTCCAACAAAATCTCAAAAGAGAAATTCATAGTCTGGAATTTTCTGATTAATTTCATTAAAAAAACTGACATAAAAGCAGATTAAATACCCTAACTAACCACTAGTAAACAACTTTACATAACTCTTTGTTTTCCTCACCCTACAGATCAGGTGCAACCCATAAAAAGATATGACCAACCTTGTCTTGAAGTCTGTCTTTTCATGGCTCCCACCATGTCTGCACGGCAAATATTATTAGTGAAACTGATGACACTTGCAAGCAATGGAAAAAGAAGATTGGCAGAACATATTATAAAACACAAAAGGGAAATTAGTGAATGATGGCATTCTCAATTTCCTTATTTGTATTTTCATCTAAACATCTTTTGCTAGAGCTGTTTTGGGTAAGATTTGTTCTGTTAAATAAATGGCATTTGTGCAAATATTATTAGTGAAATTGATGACACTTGCAAGCAATGAAAAAAGAAGATTAGCAGAATATACTATTGAACATAAAAAGGGAATTAGGTTTATCAAAATGATTTAGCCTTTTAACATGGAACAACAATATGACAACCATATTTTAATAGTCGGATATGTTTTGCTCCAAACTTTTCTCACTCACCTCCAATTGTATGAGCCAGCTTCTTGCTCCTGATCCATATCCACGATGCAAGTGGTACCCGGGTAGAGTTCCATCCAAGCAGACTGCCATCAAAAGATACAAAATCAGTTATGTCAGGAACTAGAAGTGTAGATTTCACGATAGATCATTTATCTTGTGGAAACAAAATCAATCTTAACATGAAAACAGCCAGAAAAGTCTACATAGTTCTTGACTTAGTAACATGGTTAACAAGTATAGAGTGGTTTGAGAATTACAGCACACATAGGCTAGCTAGAGTACAAAATAACCCTACACTAATCATAAGCCACATCATCCTAGAAAATCAGATTTTCAAATAGAAGTTTCCAGGTGTAAGAGCATAGAATTGCAGACTTCCACAGACCCAGCTAAGTGCATTCAGTCCAATCCGGTCTAATAATCAACCTGGGAAATAATGTATTCGAAATTTCCAGAAGCCTCTCCACTAAACAAAGGCAAATGAATAATAGTTATTTGGATAAATTAAGAAACAGCTCTCTTCCCACATTTCCTCAGGAAGTCCTTCCACTGATATTCTCTCTTAGACCCCTTTCCTCGGAGAATCTCTTTCTCCTCTTCCTTCTCTCAGATCATCGGCAGTTCACAAAGAAATATAGGAGGCCTGCCTTGCCACGGGGTACGTAGTACAGCCCCTCCAGGGTCCAGCCAATTGTCAGTTTCCTCGTTCCATCCATTCCAGACTTTCAGAGTATACCAAAGGTGGCAAATCCATGGTATTTACACCAGGAAACTAGAGACAGAGGTCCATGCCTAGGATGGGGTGCGGGGCAGTCAATTTTCCTCCATGAACCATTTCTCCCCACCTCGCTACCCCCACGAAAGAGGAGGGAAAAGGAGACAAACCGTTAGAGATGAAGAACATTAGGTAATAGGTAAGTGTCTCAGAGATAAACCCCAACGATAATAAAAGAAAAAGAAAGAATATTTGATAGTTGTTGAAATTATTTTAATCTAGTGTGATGGAAAATTTCTACAGCCTAAACTTGAAAAGTTCACAACAATATATAGGCTGTTTCCGTAGAAGAAGAGAAATTGATTTAAATTAATAAAGCAATTGATGGAGAAATTACCCCAGATGAGAAAACAAAAGAACACAAAATCGGCATGAAGACTAACTTAAAAACAGATCTCATTCTTTACTGAGAAAATCATGCGGTTGCTTTAAATTGAAGACTGAAATAAGAATAAAGTACAGGAAGGGAACAATATAAGCGAACATAATAACACCAAATGCAGATCAAATGAAACATGGGAAAAATCAGGATTGATATAATCAAATATGACCTCCACTACAAGAAAGTATTGCAAACGCGGGACAATCTATGCATAAAACTAAATCATTGGGAAGACACTGCAAAATAAAACCTTAAGCCAATAAATAAGTCATAATGGAGAAAAAAAAAATGTATAGATGAAAAAAGCAGGTACAGAGAAGTCGAATGATTAATTACAACTGAAGGCACGACGACCAGCAGCACATAAACAAAATTAAAATGCCAAAGCAGAGGCAAAATCGTGTGCATGATTGTAACAGAATGAAGTGGAAAAACTAAAAACAGAAAAAGAAAAAGGGAGAAACATGGGAACCTATGAACACGGTTATGTCATGAGTCGTGACCACCGAGAACAGTTTCATTACAAATATCATACCAATAATCGCTTCCAGATTATTTACCTTCTAACAGAAATTATTCATACTGAAACTATGATGAGTAAAAAGCTAGCAACAGGAATAAAAGAAAAAGTATAAACGAAGGGGAAAAAAAGGAATGCTGACTGAAACATACCAGCTCCTTTTGCAGCAGCACCTTGAATGAGAGTGAGACCCACCATCAAAGGATTAGCAGATACCCCATAACCATAACCCTCCACATAAGAAACTTCTGTCACATTTAAATCCTCAAAACCGTATACCCATCTAACAGTTAAAAGAAGGACAACGAAACCGAAAATCCGAGAAGACCTCATGATTCCACTTCTCTCAGAAGCCCTCTCACTTCTCAGTTCCACTAAAAATTACATACATTTGGGAAAATACAACAGCCCAACTGAGTTTTAAGCAATGGAAAACGATAGAGACAACTGCCCAAGAGAATTAAGTTCCAAAAAATGAACTCTTATTAAAGATGTAGACAGTAATGAAAACCAACAGAGATTTCTCTCCTGGTTCCTTCTATTGAGCTAAAAATAGTAGGCCATGTAAAAAGGGAAGCGAGTGATTCTTTCAAGTACGGAATCAACCGACCGAGAGAGAACGGAAGGTAATAGAGATCTTCAAGAAAATATTGGCATTTGCTGAACGACGACGTTGTCGTGTTTTGAGATTTTTCCCTCTCTCTTCCTCTGTCTCGGTGTCTCCCTCTCTGTCTCAGAGGCTCGAACACACGTTTCGAACCGAGTGATGATTCGATGGGCGCACTCTCACTGTGTAAACCATGAACATCCCCGAGCACACCTCACCATCACTCGTTGGTTTGAAAATTTGTAACGTTTTGTGTATTACAACCAATAAGAAATAAACACGTAGGAGAATCCGATGAGAGCGTGCTCATTAGATCACCACTCTTAAAAAAACTTTTTTTTACCTATAAAAGAAAAATAGTTTGGTGCGATTTTGGTTTTGGAATCTGCTTTCCTTTTCTTTCCCTCTCTTTTCTGCGGGGATGAATCATGAATGATAAAATTGATAAACGAACGGAATCCTCGTGAGTCGTGGCTCACAGCTGTTTCACTTGTTATAATCATAAATGCTTCGAGATTACCATCTTTCATCTTTACTCCCCAAATTTTTTTCCTTTTCGGCTGTGACATGGGCTTAGTAGGTGTTTGGCATCCAACATCGCACCGCTTGTAAAAATGGTCGAAGGCATATGGATTGTTTGGCACTGGTAGTGTCATATAGGCATTTTCTGAAAAATAAAAAATAGCACTGGTTTGGTTTTGTTTAGTATCGGCGCTAGCAGTACCGTTTTCAATATGATCTATAGAGTTCGGTTTCAGTCGGGGCAAAGCCCGTTCCAACAGCCTTTACAGCCTTGCATTGGGAATATCTCCGTAGTTATGTGATTTATTTCATGGGAGATATTCCCAATGCAAGATTGCAAGGGGCTGCTCGAAGAACTTGCCCCGATAGAAGTCGAACTCTGATTTATATTATCGAACACCCAAGATGATGCCACATCGTTGCACCATTGGCAGGAATATGTTGTTTTCTCATAAAACATTAAATATGGCATTGCTCCAAACCACACTTTCCCAATTTCCAAGGCATGGTTTAGAGCAACATTTTTTTCTAGAAAAATAGTACCAAACAAGAGAACTTCGGATCTCTTACCCATGCTTACCCACAATACACTATCCCCTGTGAATTGGGAACATCTCCCCTTGCATAATACTATGTAGAAGATGAGATGTTCTCCATGTGTGGCTGTGATAAACGTGAACAAAGTTCTCGTGGGTAGGAGATCCGGACTCAAACAAAAGGGCATTATTTTGAAGCACCGCTTTCTCTGATGTAGCACCTATGTGGCATTGCTTTCTCAAAAAACGACATCAATGCCAAACACCCGCTTAAACAATAGAAAGACTATATAATGGTAGAAATAAATGATACCGGAAAATCAACAGGTATCATAAACTTCTCCACAAGCTTGTTGTTCAGTGTTTTTAACAATGACTAAACAAAATTGAAATTACTCATTTCGTTGCATCTATGTGTGAGTTAATATGCTTACTCAAAAAATAAATAAATGTGGGAGCTCATATGATTTTCACCAATCTCAATCTCATCCATTCAAATAATATTTTGGGAAAATTGTCTATTAGTACCTTGTATTTTAGGTTTACTACCACTTTGGTCCCCAAACTTTAAAATGCAACATAATCAATCCAGTACCTATAATTAAGTGGAATTTCAAAAGACACAAATGTCCTTCAAATGTCATCTAATTCTCTTTATCAACTATCTAGACTTTGATAAAAAAAATGAGCGGTCCTCAATCCTTGTCTCTTCTATTCAAGAAAATTGGGGTCATGTTTTAGTGGGCATGGATTTGGGACTGTTCATTTTTTATCAACGTTTGGATGGTTGATAAAGAAAATTAGATAACACTCGAAGGCATTTGTATCTTTTCAAATGCCACTTAATGGTTGGTTAACGACAAATACTAGATTAACACATTTTAAAAGTTAAGATACTAAATTATCATGTCTTAAAGTTTGGAAACGAAAATGATGGGGAATTTTCCCTAATTTTTTTAATTATATAAAATACAGTTATGTAAAAAGAAATATCAATTAAATAATCGGCACCATCAAAATGGGTTTAGATCTACTACCCGCAAAACTGTTTCCTGGGTATAGATATTAGAATATTTTGTGAATAGCAGATCAGGAGTGCACCAAAATAGCACCTCAAGATGAATTGATTAATTTCAACCACCGAAACAATTTCCCAAGATTTCATTCAATCTGATCCATCCAAACAATGTATCCAATCACCTAAAATATTTGGATTTTGGACCATTAAAATGTCTCATATAGTACTCGTGAATTCATCTCATCCATCTAATAAATGCATGAAAATCTCTAAAAATTTCTAGGCCTTATAAAAGTAATGTATTATGTTTAAATCTAAGATCTATATCATAAAAAAAAATGCCTCCAAAAACAAATGGTTCCATCTAATTTAACCCATATCAATCCAAAGATTTAGGGCTGATGAAGGGAAATTTGGCCCGACCTCGCCATCACTCGACACGTGGCAAAAGCGAACAGCTCGGGGTAACAGAGCGCCCAAAACACACCAAAAGAAAAAGGAGCACGAGCTCCCTACTGGGAGCCCGAGCTCCCTACTAAGAACCCGAGCTCCCTGCTAGGAGCCTGAGCTCGCTACTAAGGACCCGAGCTCCCTACAAGGAGCCCGAGCTCTCTCCTGTGCCATAAACCTCACGAGGCCGTGATCCGAGCTGGCCCATAGAAGCTCGGAGCACTCCCCAAACCGAACTCAAGACTTTGTCCCCCCCGTTACTCCGGCACTTCGCCTCCGAAACGCCAGACTAACCAAGCGTACTATACCTGACACCAAGGATGTCCGTTTCCAAGGGCGGCGCACCTGACTGATTTGGGATCTGACGCTTGACAGCCGCACTTCAAACGGCCTCCTGCCACCGTTGTCACCAGCCGCAGAAACAGTTCCGACAAAAGGAGCAGTGGCGATTCTGCCCGGCCAGAAGGGATGACATCCAAACTGGCAGGAGCTCAGAGATAGTCAGGCCCGATCTGACAGAAGCCTGGAAGTGAGTGCGTGAGGTGGTTATAAAAGGCTCCCTACCTCCCAAGAACAAGGTATGCAAACTTTGCGCTATCTGGTTTATCTTGCCTT